GGGGGCTCGTTTTCTTCTTCTTCCTTCCCTCCTTTTTTCATTCGACCACAGAGTAAGAAACGGAGAGAGAGTGGGGAGGTGGTTTGGGAATTTGGGCAATGCAACACACTCAGAAACTGACTGAAGTGCTCGCTATGCTGCAGCCTCCATTCTGCTGTTTGCTGTCCTCTGTCTTCTTCTTCTTCTTCATCTGTCCTCTGCCAGCTGATGGACAGACAGCCGGAGAAGGGGGGTTGGAGAGGTTCCAGGTGGTGTTTACGCCCACCATCTGCAAGGTGCGCTGCAGGCAGGGCCGGTGTGTCAACCACTGCGAGAGAGGCAACATGACCACGTTGTACAGCGGCGAGGGAGGAGGAGGGAGGAGAGACAGCTTCCATGGGCAGGGCTTCAGAGTCTGTAAGTTCAACTTTTAACCTGAACATCACCAATTGTGCCATCACCACAGGGGACGGGGAAATTTGCCAGTCATCAAATGGCCCCAAAGTCTGAAAGAAAGATGCTAAATGCTCCTGCGTCATGTTGGTTCGCATGTCAGACGAGCCCAGAGTGTGTGTGTCCTCCGCAGCTATGCACAGGTGATCACTCACAGGTGCTGTTCAGATCGCAAATGCACATGTTCAGTATAAAGCAATGTGTTGCTGGTCAGCAGGCTGAAGGAGGGTCTGACCTCCTCTTGTTCTTTGAAAAGTGGATCTGACTTGTCACTAAACTGTGTCGCTGTGAACCGAACAAATAGTCGTTGGCTTGTTGGACCAGATGTACAGATGCTCACAGGTGGCACTTGTCTGTCGCACACTGTGTGTGTGTGTGTGTGTGTGTTTGTGCGTGTGTTTGTGAGTACACGACAAGCAGCTGCTGTCATAAGCTGCCTGCACATCTCAGCCCTTAATGCTCAGTTCTGATTTATTTGGTTGTGATGATGAGGACAGGCCGCATGTGTAGAGGAGGAGACGTTAAAACAACCATATGGATTCTGATCTGACCGTTCGGACAGGAATCGGATCGGAACACATCCGCAGGTGGCCCACATCTGGTCTGAGGACATCTGGTCTGGTCTGTTCACACTGCTGTGGACACATCAGGTCTGAGTCACTTCCATGAAGCTTTAAAGAGTTAGAACTGAAATTACAGAGAAATCCTGGGGCCTGGCGATGTGGCAAATACAAATGTGTGCAGTAGAGATTAGAGATGCACTGATCCAGGGGTGGCCGATTCCTGTCCTGCTTGTTTTCCAACTATCCCTGCCTGACCTGCTGCTGATTACCTGGCTCAGGTGTGTTCAGCCAGTCAGAAGCTGGAAGATACCATCTTAGATGAAAAGTGGAGTGAGGAAAGATATCTCAGTCTCAGTGTGCGTGTGCAGTGTGTCCAACCCGCGGTAAAACACTGCCAATACCAGCTGTGTTTCTGTTCGCCTTCACACCTGGCTCTGTTTGGACAAGTACAAAGACGGACATGTAAAACTTTCATACCTTTTATTTTTGATTAGTTACCAAGATGTCTGTGTATGCTGTCGATTACAGTTCTTAGAAAGAAAATTGGAATCGGCAGGCCAGAACTGGAAAAAGTCCGAATCGGCCCAGAAAGTTACAATCTAGTATAAATCCACTGTAAAATACTAACAGCTCACGTTGAATGAAGGTCTGACCCGAGGGTGTCACACAACCAGAACCCACAGGTGCTGCCAGGTGAGCTGCTGCTGCTTGTGAAGGCTGACGCGGCTCCAGCTGTGTCACGTGACCTGCAGCTCTTTGGTGGTTGGCAGAGTTCAGTGTCTCAAATAGTCGGTGAATAGTTTCATTGTTTAGTCTGAACTGACGCCAGGTCAGTGTGTGTTAAATCATTAGAGGATCGTGCCAACATTGAGTTTCCTCATACACAGTTACTGAAGAAGGACCAGCTGCAAAGTGATGAATATGTTTTTCTGAGCACGACTCTTTGTGTTTTCAGAATTTCCTCCATTTGGTCCAGTAACATTTGGAAAGTCTAGAAGAGCTCAAAGGCTAAAGACCTGAACTGCATGTGGAAGGAGATTTGATCAGAGATAGAGAACTCAATGTCCATAAGGCTGTGTACAAATCATAGATAAAATATGGTGCTTAATGCTGCAGAGCGTGAAAGTCCTATTTTTAAGTTGCCGTCAGTGTCTCTGTGACCCAGTGGCTGAGTCGATTCAGGGGATACGCTGCACACAGCAGCTGCTCGCTCTGCTGCCGTTAATGGAGACGCGTTGACTAAATGTGAGTGAAAGCTCAGGTTGTAGCTGGCAGCAAAGTCACTGGTAACATTTAGCATCATTATCTTCTGAACAGAAGTAGGACCATTAGTAATGAGTAATTAATTAAAGAGAGGGGGAAACCAGTGCTCCTCATATTCACTGTGCAGTAGTGGAAGGAGACACAGGAATTCACATTGCTGCGTAGAGATTTTCTGGATATTTGTGTAAGAATTTGTACCACATTTGGAAGGAGATTTGATCGGGGGGGAGGGTAGGGATAAGAAACACCACTGACATATGGCTTTCATTTCTCATTAACATTTAACCCCTGTGTTTCCATATCGTCAGAGGACATTACATTCATTTCCTACAGACTTGCCCTAAACATAATCACTACCTGCCTGATTCTTAACCTTAAATCCAAAATTTAACTTGTTTTTGTCCCCACAACACGAGTAATACAAGAATACATGTGCACACATTGCAGAAGGATGAAGTGATGACATCATAGCAGAGGTAGGAGTAAGTCACATGTATGTAAGTCTCAAGCAAGTCCCAAGTTACTGTGGTGAGAATCAAGCAAGTCAAGTCGAGTCCCTACTATACGTCACAAGTGAGGCCCTGCAGAATTCTGTCGAGGTGACGATGCTATGGGAATATCACACATTTCAGTGAAACTTTCACAAACCCCTGATTATTAATTGTGCATTCATAGGCTATAAGCTGACCCTTAGCTATTAAATAAAAAGGCCTGTCTTTTGTGGCTTTCAGAAAATCTTCACAATAAAATACATCACCAAGTCAAGTCTCACAGCTTAAAATTAAACGGAGGTGGCCAGGTTTGTGGCGTTGCACTAGAAATCACCCAGATCGGTTTCAGAAACAAAGCATAACTTCTCAATATGTAGAAAAATGCAAATGTTTAATAAAAAGTTAAGTACTTTCAAGTCTCACGTCATGAACACCAAGTCGAGTCCCAAGTCCTCAAAATTGGGACTTAAGTCTGGCTCGAGTTGAGTCATGTGACTCAAGCCCCCTCCGCTGCATCATAGGTCAAAGGTCAATCCCCTTGTTCAAGCAGCTGCCATCAGCTTCTGATGCTTTGTTGTTCCTTCTTTGAATTCACTGCACAGCCTCATCATGATATTCACAGTGTTCCACTTGACTACATTTTCCACAGTATTTTTGTTTTGTTTGGTTCAGCTGCCTCATGTTTAGCTGGATCGTTTTGTCATGACTTGTATTGTTGCGTGTTTTATTAATGTTTTAATGGCTAATGTTAACATCTGGTCCAGGGACAGTAGTGGAGCATTTGGCAGCTAAAGAGCCAGAGATTTCCTGTGGGAGCTGGCGGAGACCAAACACAGAGCGAACAGAGAGGGAGCTGGATGCAGTCAGGGCTCCACATGTTGTGTTATGAGCCACAGGATTCATAACACAACATGTTTTCAGCACACGACATGTGGAGGAAACATGTTGTGTTATGAGCCACAGGATTCATTTAATCAGAGCTGTGGGATCAGGACGAACCATTCACTTTGATCACCCCCGGTCCTCACAGTGCTTCTCTCTCTCTTCATCTGTGTTTATCTCTTCATCTCGCCTTGTTTATGTCAGCGCACTCCTGTTTTCCATCCCTGTGTTTCTCTCTTTTGCCCCAGTTACACACTCCGTGTGTGTGTTGATGTGTTCCATCTGCAGGGCGACGTCCAGGAGAATAATTAGGACACTATGTTTACACCTAAACACACACATGCAACATCTGAGTGTGTGTTACACACTTCACCAGAAACCCTTATAGAGTAAGCAACCACCTCGACTACAGAGTACACACATGCACACACACTTGAAAGGGTGTGGACATGAACACACAAACATCCTGGACACATGAAAACACTTTGGCAATAGCGATCTCACAGGAAGTACTCAGACCCTACTCAGAAGTAGAAATGTGTACTTAAAAGTACAAGTACTGCGTTTGACATCCCCAGTACATACAAAAGCAGCTGGTGTAGATCTCTGTGTCATTATCACAACAGGGAACCTCATGAAGACATTTCTGGTGAAGACTTTCAGCTCAAATCGTCCTGAAGCTGTGGTATTACTACTTCAGTAAAGGGTCAGAGTACTTCTTCCACCTGTGCTCCTACTAATTTAAATGAGGGGTTTGACCTGTTTTCTTTCCTGTACCGCACTAAACTCACACAAATCACAGAAGTTTGTTAGAGTTGGGGATGGTGTTTTTAGAGTTGTCCATTTGATCCACACTAATAGTTGTTTACTTGTGTCACATCTGTCGTGTAGTGTGTGTAACTTGTGTATAGGTCTGTGGATGTGTGTATGATGTAGTGTTTGCTGGTTACATTTGTGCGACTGAGTGTTGTACAGAGGCAGATGTGAGGACGCCTCTGACTTGTTGAAGGTTTGCTACAACAACGTGCAGAACTGTCGTGTTTTTCTGATGGACTTGTTTTGTGTACGAGGCCCAGCAGCTCTGTTACACTGCACGGCCCTGCTCATGCATTGTATATGTAGTAAATGTAAGTAAGCAAAATATGAATATTTGACTAGAAATGTAATATAAAACATTCAACAGGAACAAAACTCTATACTTATTTAATCATTACGTAGGAACATAAGTTCACCCACAGTTCATCATTTGTTGTGGAGCAGCTCCAACCTGACAATTAGACTGAAACTGTCACATCCACTTTATGGAGCAGTGAATCATTAACTGACCAAACTCGGTCTGTGTACAGTTTGTTAGGCTAATATGTAGAACGATCCGTTTTCCTGCCAATGTTTGTATATACAAAGGCAATAATTCAAGGTTGGATTACTGTAATGATCACCGGACACCGCTTTTGACTTAAAGCTGCTTTTATCATCAGAAATATTTTAAAAAGCACCAAATTCCAGCACAGGACTAAATGATGACCAGCAGACTGTTGCTCAGGCTCCATCCTGTCTGTCGCTGCCTCCTCTCCTCCTCATCGCCAGCAGCAGCTGCTTAGATGAATCCCTTGTTTTTGCACCTCCATCTGCAGGTTTACGTCTTGTTTGACAGTGAACTGCTCGAACGCAGAGATGGCCTGTCTGTAAAATCTGTGTAGGATGTGCTAAGTCAAAGCAGACAGGCAGGTGTGTTGAAGACTGAAGGAAGTGTCTTTCACTATACCAGCAACCGTCTGATTCAGAAGCTCTGACTGTTGTTCGTTTCTGTCAGACTGAGCACCATGTCGGGCACTATGCTGCCAGCTTCAGCACATTTCCTATCAGCTCAGACAGCGTCCAGTAGTCGTGTTCATCCTACAGTAATCCTGCAGACCTGCCCTGAAGGACTCCGCTGGGTGGGAGCTGGTCTGGAGTCAGTCTCATTTGCTCCCTGATCCGTTTGGTTAAACTGGTCCTGCAGCTGGAGACGAACATTCACTTTATCATCATGACATCCTGAAGTCATTTTGTGAACATGAAAGACACTCGACTGCACGTCTTCCTCTGCCGTCGACCTTCATCAAGTGATGTGTGGCTCCCGCAGTGAGACAGTAGCTGTTTCCATCCAACTGTTTTTGTGCAGATTTTCAGTTAAAAACAAAAGGAAGTGGCCAGAATTTGGAAAAAAAAAACTCAAATCTTGAGATACTGCAGAAAAATTTCTTATACTTGTCTGATGTGGAGTTGATAAAAGCAAAAGTGCAGTGGAAACAGACTTGGCAAATAAATCATGGCGTTGTTAAAACCTGCGGCGTCCACGTCACTGAAGAGATGAAGACGTCAGCAGAGAGAAAAGGCACGTTTCCATTGAGACTGAGGCGATTCAAATGTCAGTGCACATGAAGGTTACTGCTCAGTCAGTGATGACTAGTGGCTTCTAATGTTCAGCGTCATGTTGGAGACATGAGCAAAGAGCAAAGCTAAACATTTCTCAGAGTGAAGCTGTGAGTGTGCAGAGAATACACAGCGCTCACTCTGGTAGTCCAACAATAACGTCCCCACCAAAGTTCAAACCACACAGCATGCACATAGTGTGGCTGAGTTCAGGTCTGAGCCACTGAGAGAGATCTCCGGCCGAGCAGGACCAGGGTTCAGAGCTGCGTGTTTCCTTCCTGCAGGGCCCTTCCTGCAGGGTTATCGGCTCATCAACTGTGGGTAACAATACACCACCATCCCGTGGGAGGGGCTCAGACAGGAAGCAGCTGGTGGACAGGGCCCCGACCCTCACACAGGATCGGCGTTTCCAGGCCAAGGGTGTCGGCGTTGGCCTTGGACCTGTGTGTGTGTCCTGGAGCCTGTTGTGAACTTGTCTGAAAGTCGATTTATATTTTAAGTAACACGTTTTTATTTCATCGTTCGACTGTGTGGATATGAACATTGTCAGGTTTAGGCTGAACTCAGACTGGCTACGATGAAAGCAGGTACATTCTGTCCCTGTACCTTCCTACCACTGTCAGGTCTAGACCTGACCATGGAAAGTGCCCTGGGATGACTGTTGGTATGAATCAGCACTATACAAATAAAACTGAATCAAATAGAGTTGAACTGTACATGGAGACAGCTGTAACCTCAACATGCTTAGAAGAGAAGTATGAACATTAAAAATGACTACAACTAACATGCAGATAAGATTAAAGTTACATCAAATATAGGTCCCAAAGTTAACGCTGGTAAACAGGCTACATATGTTTTGGCTTTGCTCCCTGTTTGGCTTTGCACCGTTCAGCTTTCCACCAAGAAACCCTCGGCTGCCCGCTCTTCTCGAGGGTTGTCGGCCTTTATGACTATAGAGGATGCAGCCAGTGATTTTTATGTTACTGTGCACAAAGACTAACAGCAGAGAACACTGATGAATGTGTGAGTCCAGACCCTGGTCCAGCTCATCGCTCTGGGCCCTAGACCCCCACTGTTGTCCACCAGCTTTAAACCCCCCAGTGGGCAGGGTTCCTCCTCAGGGAACACGGGAGGCCGTCTATTTCCAACATATTGTTCTGTGCAGCGAGGAGCTGATGGAGCAGTGTGACCAGAGCAGAGACCCGTGGCTCTGTGCTCGGACACTGTTTCCCCAGCGGCGTTTCACACAGTGCTATGTCAATAAATCTACTGTATGTGAAGGTGACAGTCTGGTGTTTTTCCTCCCGCAGTCCTTTGTCCTCTGCTCTGTAAGAATGGAGGCTTCTGTCTGCACAAAGATCGCTGCCTCTGTCCAACCAGCTTCACCGGGAAGTTCTGCCAGATCCCCGTGGCCCCCACTGCTGCTGCGGACGCCCCTGCTGTAGCGTCTCCCTCGTCCACCAATGAGATCATCAAACCTGTGCTCCTCTCTGACATGGCAGCCAATCAGGAGCTGATGCAGTCTGAGTTCCTCCTGCCATTGGGACACAGCCAGGAGGCAGCGAGCGCTGAGGCAGCGAGCGCTGGAGGTCAGTCTGTCTGATTGTAAGGCTTTTGACCAGCTGTGACTCTTTTCTGGTTTCCTGTTGGCAGGTGACTCTTACCGCAGAGACGAACCTGAAGCTTCGATCTGAAAGCTGATGTTTCCCGATATGTGTCTGCCGCTGTGTTCCAATAGTGACTTTGCAGAGGAGGGTTGACTCAAATGTATTTATTGAAAATGACTTATGAGTTTATCTTTTAATGTAGGATTTGTTTCCTAATAATGATCAAACTTTGCTAATTCTGGGCAACTGAAAATGAAAGGGACATCTATCTCATTGTTGATTGGCTCTGGTTTGTAGGACATGGTGCTCACGAGTTATGAACCTATAGAAGGAGAGCTCTCCATAACCACATCTTATGGATCTACAGTCAAAACTAATTGTTTCTGACACAAGACATCCAGCTCTTTGTTGTTTACATCAGTGCAGATTCTCTCCTGAAGTCATAGTGTTGTCATCTTTACTCGTCAGTAAATGTCTTACTAACTGTAGTCAATCTTTTAAAACCCATAAAACGTCGTCCATTGCAATGTGGAAGCAGTTAATGTTTTTTAAATTGCAAAGTAGTGTGATGTGAAGATTGCTGCTGAAATGTAGGATGTGCTCTGCTGCCTGGTGTGTGTGTGTGTGTGTGTGTGTGTGTGTGTGTGTGTTTAGCTCCCGTTCCCTCCATGGTGAAGGTCCAAGTGCGGCACCCCCCTGAGGCCACTGTGAAGATCCACAAGGTAGTAAAGGTAAGGGCCACTCTGATTGGCTGGTGGCTCTAAAACGCTTCTACACACAGCCATGGGGAAACACGGTTGTGGTTCATCTGTTGTCATGTTGTGATCTCATTGTATCATCACAACTCAACTGAGAGTAAAATTAACAGCTGGGGGATTTCAAGATTGCGCCGTTGTTGTTGGATCGCCATCTGACTCTCCTATGGATTTGCTGTTTTTGATATTTGATGCTGCTTCTGTTGTTTCTACCTTGGTTTATGATCATCTGACGCTCCTTGATATACGCAACTCGTTGTTTGGATCTTCCTGCATATGTTTTTTATTACTGAAACTTGGTTGAAACAAGGTGACAACAGTCTCTTTTCTGAGTTGTTACCGACGGATTATTTATTTTTGAATACGCTGCGACCAGTAAGTAGAGGTGGCGGTCTGGCAACGGTCTTTAAGTTGACCCTAAAATGTTGCCCGTTTCCCTCAAGAGATTTTTCCAGTTTTGAACTGCAATCTTTTGTTTTAACCTTACACCGACCTACGTTATCTGTTTTAATATACCGCCCTCCGAAAGCCAAGGATTTTATAAATGACTTTGGGGAACTCCTGGGTGTATTGATTCCACAATTTGACAGCTTTTTAATTTGTGGAGATTTAAATATTCATGTTGACTGTGCTTTGGATCAGTTAGGGAAGGAGTTCAATGATTTGCTTGAATCCTTTGATCTCGTCCAGTCGATACTGGGCCCCACTCATCTACTTAGGGGCACCCTGGACCTTGTCATTTTTTGGGGCCTATCAGTCTGTATCAAGGATTAATTGAACGTGGCTATCATGGATCACTTTCTTATCCACTTCGAAGTTCTGGCATCGACAAGTGCTCCTAGAACGTTGGCCCCCTGCCAGCGTTGTAGGATTATCACCTCATCTACGGCATCAGATTTTGCCATTGCCTTTTCTGCTTTTGGGCTTTGCTCCTCCGGGGTTGAGAACCTCCCGGCATGCCCTGATGCTTTCCTCGGCTTATTTGACTCTACTTGTTTTAGGATTATGGAGTCCATCGCTCCCTTGGTGAAAAGGAGGGCTAGAAATACTGTTGACCCTTGGTTGAACATCACCACTTGTGTCCTGCGGAGACGGTGCAGGCAGGCGGAGCGGAAATGGAAGAAAGATGGACTACATGTTTCCCTTGCCATGCTAAGGGACAGCCTCCTTTCTTATCAGAAAGCTGTAAAAGATGCTAAATCGCGATACTTATCTAATATTATTTTGAATAATAGTCAACACCCAAAAGTTTTGTTCAATACCATTAACTTGGTTATTAATCCTCATGCTACATTGGCCCCTGAGTGCTCGGTTGCGAATTGTAATCAATTTCTGAGATATTTTATTAATAAAGTTCTGAATATTAGGCGAAACATTCCCATGTCCCTACCTCATGTACCACTTGTATCTCATGCACTCCATATATTTGATTCCTTTTCTCCGATCTCTCTGTATCAATTTAAAAAATTTGCCTCACACCTGAAGCCCACCTCCTCTCCTCTGGACTTAGTCCCAGCCAGGGTTATTAAGGAGGCTTGGTCACTCTCATCAACCACTCTCTCAGCTCGGGGTTGGTTCCCACCGCCCTTAAACATGCCATAGTGAGACCTCTTCTTAAGAAATCTAACCTTGATCCAGCCTATCCGTCTAACTTCCGCCCAATTTCTTTACTGCCTTTTTTATCTAAAGTAATGGAAAAAGCGGTTCTTACTCAGCTGCAGTCTCACCACTCGTTTGGACATTGCTGACAAATTTCATTCAGGTTTTAAGGCCCGCTATAGTACAGAGTCTGCTTTGCTGAGCGTCCATAATGACATCGCCATGGCTCTTGACACCAAGTACCCTGTTATTTTAGCTTTACTAGACCTATTGGCAGCATTTGTTACTGTTGACCATGCCGGTTTATTATCTACACTGGAAAACCTCTTGTTTGGCTGAAGGCCACAGTTTTAAATTGGTTTAGTTCTTTCTTGAGAAATAGAACCTTTTTCTGTCATTATTGATGATCTTTCCTCTGATACAGCCCATCTTACCTCTGGCATCCCACAAGGGTCGACCTTGGTACCTTTTACTTTTCTCTTTATATATGTCACCGTTGGCGTCAATTATATCCAGGCATAATGTTCATTTTCATTTTTACGCGGATGGCATTCAGATTTATATGCCACTGGTATTATCTGACCCAAATGCATTTACTCCACTGTATGACTGTATTCCGGATATTAAGATTTGGCTTGCCCAGAATTTTCTTCATTTAAATGAGAATAAGACCGAATATATCTTTATCAGCCCCGATCCAGCCGCAGGTGTATCCAATTTACATGCCCCTGCCCCTGCACTCAGAGACATGGTAAAAAACCTTGGAGTGATATTTGACACTAGTTTTAACTTTGATAAACAGATCAGAGCCGTTGTCAAGACCAGTTTCTTTCACCTGAGACTTTTAACGAAGATTAAGCCTTTTTTATCCCAAGGAAACTTAGAAAAGGCGATCCATGCTTTTGTTACTTCGCGAATAACTATTGTAATGCCCTTTACGTTGGTATATCGGTCGTTGCTGAGGAAACTTTAACTGGTCCAAAATGCGGCAGCTCGCCTTCTGTCCAACACTCCCAGGTTTGCCCCTATTACTCCTGTTCTTCTCACATTACACTGGCTGCCTGTACATTTTAGAATTAAGTTTAGGATTATTTTATTTCTGTTCAAAGCCTTATAAGGCCTTGCTCCACTTTACCTGTCCGAACTTTTATTTATCTATGTTCCTCGTAGAGCCCTGCGCTCTTCTAATAACCTGTCCCTAGTGGCTCCAAGGTCCTGATCCAAAAAATGGGGTGACCGTGCGTTTGCTGTTTATGGCCCCAGACTCTGGAACTCATTACTGCTTGAGATTCGGTCTCTCACTGAGCTAGCGGTTTTTAAATCTACATTAAAAACGCACCTTTTTAAACAGGCTTTTGATCTTTAATTTGTTTTATCTGCCTCTAAATGGTTGTTTTATGTTCTATGATTATCTTGTTGACTGTTTAGTATTGTTTTGTTTGTTTTAGTATTGTTTTAGTCGATAGATATGTCTATACTGTGCAGCACTTTGGGCCCTTTTGAGTTCCATCCATCCATCCATTTTCCTCCCCTTATCCGGGACCGGGTCGCGGGGGCAGCAGTCTCAGCAGAAATGCCCAGACTTCCCTCTCTCCAGACACTTCCTCCAGCTCCTCCGGGGGAATGC